GCGTCTGTCTATTTCAGGCCTCTACTATAGAAGCCTAAATAATTACCCATATTATTGTTAGGGCCCCTTATTGCCTTATTATGTCCTATATGAAGGAGCCCAAGACCCTATTCTACCTATTAAGGCCCCTACATTGCATGGGCTTAGCGCCCGCAGCTCTTGCCAATTTCCAACCAGCATCTCTCATCCCTCCCCGGGAATCATCGGTTGAGGGTTTAGGGTTTAGGGTTTAGGGTTGAGGGTTTAGGGATCATCCTAAACCCGAGAGGATCAGAGAGTTGGTGAGGAGGTATATCGAAACTTGATCGAAATCCCAATGAATTAAAGAACTTGCCACTATATTTCTTATTATAACTACCGGTGAACCGTCAAGTGCCCCCCTAAACCCTAAACCCCAAAGTTCTAAAGTCCCCAGCTCATACTTACCCGAGCCCTCCTCAACCCTAAACCCGGAACCCCTAAGCCCTAAACCCTCTAAGCCGCCTAAACCATCTAAACCCACTCAACCCTCTGAACCCTTTAAACCCACTAAACCGCCTAAACCCCCTAAACTCTAAACCCCCTCAACCCTAAACCCTAAACCCTAAAAACCATAACCCTAAATTCTTAAGACCTCGATGCCGAAAGCTCTGAAGCGCAAGACAGCGCAGCACCGCCAGGCGCTCTCGCAGACATCTGGTCGCTGTCACATCCTCTTCACTGGTCACTCCTTAGGAGGCGGCTCTCTTCATCTCACTCGGGTTCCTTAAAAGGCGGTCTATTCATAGGGGTTCTATAAGGGTTTTTTGGGGGTTACTTGAAGGATCACGGGACTTAGTAAGTAGGGTTATAATTACGGTAGCTGTACGTATGTTTACTTATGACCCCATGTAAGGGACTTATAACCTTACTTACTAAGTCCCACGATCCTCCAAGTCGGGTTCCTTAAAGGGGTCTATTCATAGGGGTTCTATAAGGGTTTTTTGGGGGGGTTACTTGAAGGATCATGGGATTTAGTAAGTAGGGTCCAAACTATTGAAACTATACTTAAACCCCTAAGCCCTAAACCCTAAACCCTAAAACTATACTTATAACTGCTTGTATCTCCATTTTAGGGACTTATATAAGCTTACTTACTAAGTCCCAGGATCCTCGATTATTGGGAGTTTGGGTTTCAGGGTGTAGGGGTTCAGGGTTTAGGGTTTAGTGTTTAGGCTTGGATGGGTGGCTTGGCGTGTAGAGTTTGTGGGCCGCCGGTAGAGCGAACCTTCGTTCCTGCTACAAGTCCTGGTGTAAAGGTATGTAGGTTATGTGGGGTTAAGGTCGGGGTTAGGGTGTCCATTTATTTGTCTATCTGTCTGCGAATGTTAAACACGCCCTAACTACCCCTTTATCCATCCATGCATCCCTCCCTCCCTCCCTCCCTCCATCGATCCAGTCCCTCCATCAATCCATCCCTCCATCCCCCCATCCCTCCTTCCCTCCTTCCCTCCATCCGTCCATCCGTCCATCCGTCCATCGCTTCATCCGTCCGTCCGTCCATCCGTTCATCCGTCCATCCNNCCGTCCATCCATCCATCCCGCCATCCTTGCATCTTCTACCTGTGCCCCTGTCCACCCATCTGTCGATCAACCTGACATTTCAGAGCCCGGTCAAGGTGCTTAGTCAGGGCCCTACTTCGCACTGTCAACGACGCTCAAGTAAGCCCAAACCCCACAGCCTCTCACTAATATGATTAGTGCACACATGCATACATGCATACATNNACATTGTATATATATATATATACACACATATTTGTACATGGCACTACCGTCGCATCCATGCCGCTCCGAAGCCGTAAACCCGATAAGCCCTAGGTATCGCGAAGCCGAATCCCCGTAAAAAAACGAAGGTTGCCAAGATCTCCCAAGACCGAGGTGAGAGAGTATAATGTCGACTCTGGAGTCTGAAGAATAAGTAGTAGTAGTAGTAGTAGTAGTAGTAGTAGTAGTAGTAGTAGAAGGAGTTGTAGTAGTAGTTGTCGTCGTCGTATAACAATAATAGTAGTCTTTAGTATATTTAATAATCCTTTATTTTCCTATGGTGCAGCATTCCCTGGAATCCCATCTTGAGTTTTCAGATACTTGCGCTAGAGGTGGCGCGGCGCTGATCGCCCACCTGTGTTTCCTCGTGCGATGGCAGGAGCTTCCTTGATCTCATTCGCACTGCAGCGGAGGTTCAGCCGGGTTGATTGATCCGTATTTTATTATGGTTTAGGGTTGAGGTCAGGTCGTATGGGGTTTAGGTTTAGGGTCCCCGAAGGACTGGACATTTTCTCATGCTATGGTAATGACTCGCCTTTGATTGGGCAAAAATGTCTACAGAAGGTTTCACGAAGTGGATGCACCAGAAGTGGGAATGTGATGCATGTGTGTGCTTGTTTTTATTTACACACATACATACATATTTATATGTTCACACACATGTATATATATATATATATGTATATATACATATAAACATATATGTATAAGCAGTGGGGAGGACTGGCTCCAAAGGGAACCGCGGCTCACCCTGGAAAGCACCGCCTTTGCCGCGCCAATGGCAACTGGGAGTCGCCAGAGGGTGTCCTTAAGGTTTGGGGTTCGGGGGGTTTAGGGTTTAGAGTTCAGGGTTTAGGGTTTAAGGTTTGGGGTTTTGGGTTTAGGGTTTAGGGTTTAAGGTTTGCGATTTTGGGTTTAGGGTTTAAGGTTTGGGGTTTTGGGAGGTTTAGGGTTTACCTAAACCCTAAACGCTAAATCCTAGGCTCTACATAGAGGCTTAGGGTTTAGGGTTTTAAGTTCTAGAGGAGGGGGAGTGAGGGCTTTTACCCAGGGTCCGCAGGGTTCTGTAAGGGTTCGATATTGATGCTATACGGTTTCTGTAAGGATTCTATAAGAGTTCTATAGTTCTATGGTTCTAGAATCTTCTTAGAAGGGTTCTATCAGGGTTCGATAAGCGTCAGGGATTAGTTGTTTAAGGCTTCATGTACTCCCGTAGTATATACCTTGTCCTCATTGTAGTCCCAAAAAACGGTACGTTAGTCCAAAGCAGGTTCATTTGGGCACGTGGATCCTTAGGAAGAGGTTCATGGGGATCAGGCTTGGTGTCTGGTGTTTGGGATTTGGGGTTCCTTAGGGTCTTTACTATGGAAGCTAGGGTTTGGGATTTTGGGTCTAGGTTGGGGTCTTAAAGGAAGGTCCTAGCTTCGCCAGGGATCTTCCGAGTGAGGGTTATGATAAGGATCCAAATCTTGCGTGAATCTTGAGGCCCTTGAAGAAAGGGTTAAGGGTTTAGGGTTTCTCGCCGAGGACTTCGAAGGCATGTGGCTGCGGATGTAATCGGCTTCACAAGGGTCCCATGAGGATTGCCAGGGGGCCTTAGATGGTGGGGTGCCTGCTTGCGGTGTTTTGGCCGGACATACGTACCCTCTAGTGGCCCTCTATAGGTAGTCTAGTGCAAGCACGATCAGAGCAGTAGCAACGCGAGCAACAACAACAACGACAACGACAACAACAACAACAAGGAAACCCTAAAACCTAAACCCTACGATATGTTGATTCATGGACGCTATATGACTCTGTACCCCTCCCCGACGTCCCGGGAAAACAAAGGGCCTCTTGTGGGTTCGGGGTTGGTAGTGCCATCCCTAAGGGGAGGATTGGGGTTGAGAGTCTTGGGTTGAAAATTGTATATGGGTAGTTCTCTAAGTTCGGGTTCCCTGTTTAGGTCCCCCAAAATTATCTGTAGTACAACACCCTTATTAGGTCCGCAAAATATCTGTAGTACGGCACCCTTATAACAGGGACCCTAA